CTCTTAATAAAATATTGTTGAGAAGACTTTCATTTCGTATGAAAGTGCATAATGAAGAGATTCAAAGGACGATCTCATTAAAATACGAAGTCCAATTCCCATTGTACCTCAACGGTTTAGCTTTAATATGAAAGAGAATTAGCCAAAATCATTGTATATCTCTTTGTTCCTACACATTTTCGTTTACACTTATGAATATATATAAGAGGTAAGATATAACTGAATAGTTTTATTGATTTGCTATTTGTCAACTTGTGGATTTTAAAAGAATAAAATCTAGCTCTGATAGTGTACATGATATGATGGATTAAAACTGTTCCCGTTTTCACCCAAAAAGAGGGAGGATGTCTCGTGGACTGCATCAACCTGAAGGTCGTATTAAAACCAAACGACTACAGTACAACGGGAATCAGCCTTCGTCTTTTCATGAGATCGACGTTCGAATCTTTTGAACATGCAATTTCATAAGAAATGAAAATCTCCCAGCAATGTTATATTAGGAGATTCATATAGACTCAATTACTTTTCATATTTGTAATATTTTGTTTCGCATATTAGGAAAAATCTTGGCAGACTTTAGCCCATAATCATAATCCTCAGGTGTGCTAATGGATCACGTAATAATTTCTAGCCCATTAATATTTACATTTATTTGTACAGCCAATCTTATCGAGCTTCCCTTCTATCAGAAGAGGTCTGGAGCCCTTCGCATTAGCCCCTCATTTGTTCATACCTTGGAGGTCGTTTCGCAATTTATTCTGTTCTATCTTAGCCAAATGAAGTAAAAAGGTCCATAGCTCTAAGATACAGACCCACATTTGCCAGGACTCATAAAAACCCCAACTACATAATTCGGTTCTGATCGCTGTCTATACCAGCACAGAAGAAGTGAAATCGAGGAAAAAAGCGTTTAATCTGCAGCTAAATCCTCTGGATTTTTCATACTTTTATGAATTTTTCCATACCTGTAGAACTTAGGATCAATACCAGCAGCCTTGAGGCGAGCATCGGAAATGAGTAAATTGTCCCTCTTAGACTTCTTGTCCGTCAATTTATCTTGTTTGATGGTCACGGCTATGGCTCTCTTACCTCGGTAGTCGTCATCTTTAGGTATGTCCCTTATTTGTTCATGCTTATGTCGCGATGGAGAGTAATCTTGAGGAGCATTCGCTTTTTGCCGATACTTAGATAGCCGTGGCTTCGCAACTACATCACCAACAACAGGCCTCACGTCTTCCTTGCATTCATCTGTCAAAATCTCTTCAACCATAGTAACCTTGGCCGAACTCTCCACATCGCCGCGTAGAATCTTCGCAGAATTGCTGGACGTACCAAGATCCAGATTGTATAGGCAAGATAGCTCCAGTTGACGATTGCGCTTACGACGGAGGCGCTTCTTCTTTGATCTACTAGGGCCGTCAGAAGGCCCCTCAGCATCAAGTCTTTAAAGGGAAAAAAGAAAACGGACTTTTTAGGAAGCAAGCTTACTTGATTGAAGGTTTATGCTGGAGAGAAAAGCTAATCGACTAATCAAAACTCATGTTAAGTCCAGATAAGCAGTTAAACAAATGATGTATTATGTCGCTTTGAAGCGAAACTGTAACGTTTATTAGAATATTCTTTGCCAGTATTAAAAAATATTTAAGGCGATCAAGAGGACTAAAACAAGACTTTTAGCACTGACTTAATGCAAAGTAAACATAAATTGATTTTGAGGATAAAATCGTCGTCTTGTCATTAAAGGTCACCTCTATAAAGATACATCAAACAGTAGATTCTATAAATGCATCGGTTGGTGGTTGAGAATAGTCTCAGCTTTATGTTGCTGTATGCAAATCACAATGCT